ACCCTTTTTTTTAATGATGTTTACTTTGAATTTATATTAGTTCACACAAACACTCCATCCATGCTTTTGTTCCGGCCCTCCGGTCCAGTTTAAGAACCCATTGTGGCCCTCGAGTCAAAAAGTTTGCCCACCCCTGCTGTAGAGCAAGCATGTCAAACTCTCGGCCCATGGGCCGCATGCCTCGTTTATTTGGCCCGTATTAGCCTTTGAGTTTGACATGCTTGCTGTAGAGATTTTAAGATGCACGATTTACTCATTCAACTCCAACGTAAAGTAGTAGTTTTACCACTTTTCAGACAGTGTAAGGATTTTAAACCACTTTAATTCTCTTTATCATCCTCTCACTGTGCTGTTGCTCTGTACTTTGTTTCTCTATATAATTTTAAACCTCACAAGGTATTATTGCTGCTGTTGCTGTTTTTTTATAGTCAGTGTTCATTTATATTTACCCCAATTTTTCCCCATTCTGTTGATTTTCTTCCTTCCTGCATCTCTTCATCCTTCTATTTATGGAATACCTGTTAGTAGTTAATTTAAAATGACTTTCTGTTGATGAGTTAATCATAGTTTTTTGTCTGAATGTCTTAATTTTAACTTCATTTTTGAAGGTAGTTTTGCTACATGTAGAATTTTAGGATGGTAAGAATTCCCCTGCCCCCCCCCACCCCCAGCTTTTAAAGGTACCATTTTATTGTCTTCTGGCTTCCTTTGTTTTTGTTGAGAAGTCAGCTGTCAGTTTTGTTGCTTTGTTAATATATGTCATTCTTTAATTGCTTATAAGATTTACTTTTTGGTTTTTAGTAATATACTTTAATGCGTCTACATGTGGGTTTTTTTTGTGGGTGTTTGTGCTGCTTAGGATTTGTAGAGCTTCTGGAATTTGTGGGAAAATTTCAGCCATTAAATTTTCAAATACTTTTCTATTCTTTTCTCTTTGTTCTAATTTTCTCCAGCTATGTCTACTTTGTTATTAAGCTCATCTATGGAGTTCTTAATTTTAATCAATTTACTTTTCAGTTTGTTTCTTTTTTGTGTACTTTCCAGTTCTCTTCTGAAATAATTTTGTTTTATTTCCTTCAATATAGTTGGCATAATTATTTTGAAGCTTTTATCTAATAATTTTATTATCTGGATACAGTATTTCTATTAGCTATTGTTTCTCTTGTTCTTGGATTTGTCTTACCTTTGTATGCCTGGTTATTTTATAGTGTTACACATTATGTATGAAAAACTATAGATATAATTTCAGTATCTGGTTATTGTTTTTATTCCTCTAGAGAGGCATTACCTTTCTGGTCTACTCTATCTTTCACATCTAGTCTAGGACAACTAGTCACACAGGTCATCTCAACCCAGTCATGCATTGAGATGATTTGAAGTGTGGGACCTATGATGACTGTTTTTTTTTGTTTCTGTTTTTATTCCCCCACCCCCCAGTTCACTGCTACCTTTTAGGGGTAGTTTTTCAAGATCCCAACCCAGAGTCTAGTGGTTTACCGGGATACTCTCCTCTCCTTATGGGCCATGAACTCCTACTTTTATTCTCTTTCCCTTCCTGTGAGATGTTGAAAGATATGTTTGGCTTCTGTCTTTATTTTCCTCTTTTGGAATGTGCAGAAGCCCCTAAGGCAGTGATTTTCAAGCTTTCTCGTCTCATGGCACACATTAATTAATTACTAAAATTCTGTGGCATACCAAAAATAAACATATATTGCCGATCCAACAAAAAAATAGATATAATTTTTGATTTATTCACACTGGATGGCTATTGCTGTGTTGACTGTTGTCATTTTTTTATTTGACAATCTAAGGGAAAAGAGGTCAGTGCCCCTGACCAAATAAGTATTGCATGTTTTAAAAATTCTTATGGCACTCTGGTTGAAAATTACTGCTCTAAGGGAAAGTAGCCTCCATCGCCAAGCTCAGTTCTCTCACTTTATTCTCCCAGATCTTGGTTTTACATTTTCTTTTTTCTTGATAGCTTTAATGCCTTCCAAGAAGTTTTTAAAAATGTTTTTCCTGGATTTTCTAGTTGTCAGTGGGAAAGTTGGTCCAAATGATTTATTCTGCTGTTAACAGAAACCAGACCCACGACATCTCCCTCCCCATTTATACTTTTAAAATACTATACATCATCTATCTATCTGTCTATCTATCTATCAGGGGTCCTCAAACTTATTGAACAGGGGGCCAGTTCACTGTCCCTCAGACCGTGGAGGGCTGGACTATAGTTTGAACAAATTCCTATGCACACTGCACATATCTTATTTTGAAGTAAAAAAACAAAACGGGAACAAATACAATATTTGTATTTGCATGTGGCCCGCGGGCCGTAGTTTGAGGACCCCTGATATATATATACACATACATACTAGAGGCCTTGTGCACGAATTCGTGCATGGGTGGGGCTCGGCCAGCCCACCCCAGTGGGGCCCACCAGGCCAGCCGGGGAGAGGGGCTGCGGGCAGTTGGCCGGCCAGCCCCACCCCCTATCGAGGTGTTGGGGGCCGATCGGAGCCCAGATCAGGCTGGTTGGCTGCCGTAGTGCATGTCATAGCCACCGGTCATTCCGGTCTTTCTGCCATTCTGGACGCTGGGCTTTTATATATATAGATCCTTCACAAATTATTGACCATCTATCTGGGAGTGGTGTGATATCAGCCCATGAATTCTGTATCCTCTTTACCCCCAAAAAGATAGCCCCCCCTTTTTCTCCCTGCCTTAGAGTTATGCTTTGCTGTTTATTGTTTCTGCTTTTTAACCTTTCCCAGTGTTGCTCTAGGGCAGTGATGGCGAACCTATGACACGCATGTCAGAGGTGACACGCGAACTCATTTTTTTTGGTTGATTTTTCTTTGTTAAATGGCATTTAAATATATAAAGTAAATATTAAAAATATAAGTCTTTGTTTTACTATGGTTGCAAATATCAAAAAATTTCTATATGTGACACGGCACCAGAGTTAAGTTAGGGTTTTTCAAAATGCTGACACGCCGAACTCAAAAGGTTCGCCATCACTGCTCTAGGGCAAAGTCTGTTATTATAGTCTTGTAGCTGACAAGGAAAGGTTGTGGCTCTTTCCTGCACGAATCCCCAAGCTTTGGTCTTATTGCCAATTTTCTTAGGATGTTACCCTCTCATTTCTTAATTCTCTTAATTTAGCACCTCTTTTTACCACCTAGCTATTATTGGTTCAGAGAAACCCCCACCCCACATTGAGTGTCACTCCTTTAGTGAGCCACTGTTACTGATGGGAGAGTACTTGATCTCTCACATATGGTAGGGCAGGAGACAGAGGTTCAGAATCACTGGCATATAGCTTCAGCTGAGCTCCTTGGACATGTCCACAGTAGTATAGTTTAGGTTCATCTCTAACCTGTAAGTTTATCTTTTTTGGTCCTTTATAAACTCAAAGAGTCTCCATTATTATCTTTGTGTTTCTGTGTCCTTTTTGGGTCTAAATGTAAATATTTGTCCCATTTTCTTATGCCCTACTGTTTCCCTGGATTTATTAGCACTATGTTTTTGTTTTTGTTTTTAACATCAAAAGACCCATGTGCTTCCTTCATGAATAGAAGGGTAGGCAAAAGTTTGTTCTTACTGGGCTGGGAGGAGAGAAAGTCATGATTAGCACCAGCGAAGGCAGGGAACATGGTAGCAGGTGGACTGTGAGTATTGGCCCAGGTGAAAAGGAAAGGGGGCAGTGGTTTCAAACTGAGAAATACATTTGTATTTCTTTATTGGCCAGAGAGCATTTTGAAATTCCTAGTTCTTTAGAGTCCTCAGCTCTTGTCTTAAGCTTCAGGCAGATAGGAGCCTTTATCTTCTTGTGTGGCAGATAAGGTATGGGTGAAGAGGTATCTTCCTGACATTCTAATAATTTTTCTGAAGTTTGTGTTTTTTTTTAATGTAAGGATTCTTTTAACTGTGATTATATACTATAATTTCAACAGTACTAAATTTCTGGCATGTGATAGATTAAAAAATCTTCTAAGGGCTGCTTGAAACTTAACCACAATGTATAACATTGTGGGGGGAAGAGTATTTGGAAATCATAAGAGGTGACTTTAAAATGACGTTTAGAAATATTAATTATTGGTAAATTGATGAATAATTATTACATAGAGATTGAAATTGTGAAGAAATGAAATATTTTTATGTGATTATAATCAATGTTTTATTTTTATAGGGCTTCTTATATGCATATAGTATTAGTAATATTATTAAAACCACAATGAATCTCTACATGTCCATGCAAAAGCCAATGACCAAAACCTCAGTTAAGGCATTATGCAGGCTTGTTGAACTTCTCAAGGTAGGTTTTAGATTATTTTACCTTGCCATTATAATTTAGAAATGACCCCTGGCTTAAATTATGATGATCCTCTAAAATTTGACATTCTGATTATATGAGAATAACAAGTTATGGGAAAATGTACTTATCTCTTAGTTGGATAAAGGAACTAGCCATTGAAATAAATTTATGATTAACATTCTAGCCCTAACTGGTTTGGCTCAGTGGATAGAGCGCTGGCCTGTGGACTCAAGGGTCCCAGGTTTGATTCCGGTCAAGGGCATGTGCCTTGGTTGCGGGCATATCCCCAGTGGGGAGTTTGCAGGAAGCAGCTGATCGATGTTTCTCTCACATTGATGTTTCTGCTCTATCCCTCTCCCTTCCTCTCTGTAAAAATTTAATAAAGTATATTAAAAAAAAACAAAAACCAAACAAACAAAAAACATTCTATGAATGGCCAATTTATTGAAACTACATTAAAATTTTACATGTAATAAGACAGAAAAGAAAGAAAATGAAAAGGTTAGCCTAAGTATTAGTAAAGATTTACTTGTGGAAGTTTAAGTATATTGTATGAGTTAAAAAAATAATACTCATGGAGCATTATCCATTATTTTGTGGTGTTCAAATGCACATGAGGATAGTAAACATGTGGCTGTTTATTTTGTAATTTAGAGGAAGTGCTGTAATCTTCTGATTTGAATAGTCGTCTAGTAGTATTTATAGGAGTGGTCAAATAAATTAAGAACCAGAGTATACTTCTGGAAATATGGTAAAGTATTTCTTAGCTTACTCTATATAATTCAAAATAAAAGCCCCTTTAAGCAGAAGAGTCTACATAACCTCTTTTAAAAATTGAAATTAAGAGATACTTGTAAATTTCTGCTAGTAATGCTTTTAGGTTAGCTTAGGACAGTGATGGCGAACCTTTTGAGCTCTGTGTGTCAGCATTTTGAAAAACCCTAACTTAACTCTGGTGCCGTGTCACATATAGAAATTTTTTAGTATTTGTAACCATAGTAAAACAAAGACTTATATTTTTGATATTTATTTAATATATTTAAATGCCATTTAACAAAGAAAAATCAACCAAAAAAATGAGTTCGCGTGTCACCTCTGACACGCGTGTCATAGGTTCGCCATCACTGGCTTATGAAATAGAGATTTTTTTTGGAAATTGTGCCTTTGGATTTTTAGTTTTTTTTCTCTAAGGAAATGTTACCAGCTATATTTAATTTTTAAGAAATATAAATACAGAAATGTATATCAGCTAATTAAAAATAATAAATACTAAAAAACTATCATCACAATTAAGAAATAGAATACTAGTATTATTTATATTTTCAAACCCCCCTGTGTTGTCTCTCCTGATTGCATCTTATCCTGTCCCCTCAGGAAACTGTTGTCCTGAATTTTATGCTTATCATTCCCTTGTTTTTATTTTTAGTTTACCACATAAGGATGAATCTATAGACCATTCATTGTTCAGTTATATATGTTTTTGAAGTTTATATTAATGGAATAATTCTTCATGTATTCTTTGACTTACCTTTTTTTACTCAAAATTTTGTTTTTGAACTTGTCCATATTGAGATGAATAGCTGTAGTTCTGACCTTTCCATTGCTGTGCAGCTTTCCTGTGGATGAATTTTCGGGTTGCTGTCATTTTTGTATATGTCTTTTGGTGTACTTGTGCCAAGAGTTTTTCTGAGGTATTATATAGGATTGGATTGTGTTATGTACATTGTCAACTTTCCAAGATGATGCCAAATTATTTTCCAAAGTAATTATATCACTTTACATACCTCCCACAATGTATTAGACTTCCCATTGTTCCTCAACTGACCAATATTGGTATTATAAGGCTTATTTGTTTTTGACAAATTAATGTATATCAATGGTTTGATTATGACTTGAATGTTTATTTTTCTAATTATTAATGATAGTATCTTTTCAAAATTTAGTATCTGTTTCTTTTGTGTAAAATCTGTTCATGTCTTTCGTTCAGTTTTATATTGAATTATGTCTTTAAAAATATTTCATGCACTTGGGGTCTTTAATATTCTAACTACTAATCCCTTGTGTGTGGCAAATATTTTCTCATACTTTGGCTTGCCTTTTTATTTTCTTTATAGTGGTTTTTGATGAACAGAAATTCTTAATTGTATAATACTTGAATTTACCAACCTTACCCTTTATGGTAGTGCTTTTTGCATCTCATTTATAAGTTCTTTACCTAGCCCCAGGTAATAAAAATATTCTGTAATTTTGCCTAAAAGTTTTAAGTTAATTTTTTCAAAATTACTTCTGGTCTTTTTTAGGCCATAGAGCATATGTTCTACAGGAGAAGCATGGTTGTAGCTGATTCAGTTTCACATATAACACAGCACCTTCAACATCAGGCTCTTAATTCCATTTCTGTGGCCAAGGTATGAAAGTTGTTATATATTCAGCATAATTAGCCTTTTAGTTTATTTTTCTGTTGCTTTGTATGTGTTTTCTGGTTCAGCCTGTTACTCCATTCCTTCAAACATAATATTCTTGTTTATTTATCTCCACAGTATTTTGTGATTTTTACTAGAGTGCTCAGGGTTATCTTTCTCCGAACTTGTAGCATGTAATAAACACATTAAAAAGTGATATTGTATGTAGTTTAAATTATGATGTATCTTTTTAAAAGAAAATATTTCCTTATTAAATTAATAATGGAAATCTTAAAGTATGTCTGATATAGATTTGCTGTCCCTAACAGTGCTAATTGATAATGTTGCAGGAGTAATAAAGCACACAGCAGTGTCAGAAGACACTCAACAGGGAAAGTATTGTTGAAGCTCTCTTAAAGTGAATCATGGAAAAGATTATTGAGAAGATGTTCTTCTGAATCTTTTGTTATTGCCTCAGAAATAAAGCTAATATGTCCTGTTTTCTCTTTTATCTTTAAGAAAAGAGTAATTTCTGACAAAAAATATAGTGAACAGCGTCTTGATGTGCTCTCTGCTTTAGTTTTGGCTGAAAACACTCTAAATGGACCAAGCACAAAGCAAAGACGCCTTATTGTTTCTTTGGCACTCAGTGTTGGCACACAATTGGTAAGTGTATTGCTATTAGTTATGTAATAAAAATAAGACCTGAGATTTCATAATTTTCTTCTCATTGACCCTGTTCTTACTTTGACTGCAACTTCTCTGCCTTTTTTTCTCTTCCCTGATAGAAAACATTTAAAGATGAAGAACTCTTTCCACTTCAGGTAGTCTTGAAAAAGCTGGATCTTATCAGTGAACTTAGAGAAAGGTAAGTAGGGATTTATAATGATACTCGAAAGGTGGGGTTAATGCCCTGGCCTGTGTAGCTTGGTTGAGTGTCATTCTGTGCACCAAAAGGTTGCCAGTTTGATGGCTGGTCAGGGCACATGCCTGGGGGCATGCTGGAGGCAGCAGATAGTTTCTCACTCACATCTGTTTCTCTCTCCCTCTTTCTTTAAAAAAAAATATATAAAAGGCTAATATGCTAAGTGTCCTTCCCTCTGTCCGTGTAATGATGTCATGTAGCAATGCCTGGCTTCTTCTCCCTAGTGACAGTTAGCCTCCTTGCAGTTTCTTCAGCCTAGGACCACGACTTGCTTTATAGCCAGGTGCAAACACTTTACACTGTAACCAAATTTCTGTGAAGTGTTTTCCTGAGCCTCATCTCATTTGATCCTCATGGAAGTCCTGGAATAGGTAGATAGGAGACTTGGTAGAATCCTATTTTCTTTTCATTAGCTGGAAAACAGATTTAGAAAGCTTAGAAACTTGACCCGACTAAAAGGAAGTAAGAAAATGACTTCAGGTTTTCTCACTGCGCAGAATATAGTCAAACACTGCTGCAGTTAAATATTTTACTCTTTGTTCTCCTTGTGTGATCTATGATAATAATCTGCTTCATGTTGATATTTACTGCTTTGTTGCTGCCAATTACCTGAAAGAGAAGTTGGGGTGCTTCACTGGACTGGAAAAAATTTAAGTCAGAAAGCAGGTCTAATTAAGTAAATTTGTTCTATATCTATACAAGGCTAAGTTGACTCACGCATGCGCGATACATACAGAGCTCTTGCTAGCTCCAATCGCACCTGTGTGTTTTGATCTGTCATTGTCGATTGTGAATTTGGTTGACACTACTATTATAGAGAAAGGGTGAATAGCGATATTAAAATATTTCTTCTAATTAATTTCCTTTCAGTGTGCATGAATTTGTGCACTGGGCTACTAGTCTAATCTAATAAAAGACAAAAAGGGTAATTGACCGTACCTTCGCTACACTTCCCATTGGCTAATCAGGGTGATATGCAAATTAACTGCCAAGAAAGATGGCGGTTAACCGCCAACAAAGATGGCAGTTAATTTGCATACATAGGCACAATGATGGGAGGCGAAAGGGGAAGGACGGAAGAACAGTGATCGGAAACCCAGGCGGCAGGCAAGAGCCGGGTGGCAGGGCAAAGGCGCCCCCCAGGGCCGCCTTTGCCCTGCCCCCCAGCCCTGGATCGGAGAACCGGGGCCACCTTTGCCCGCCCCCCAGCTGGTGATCCTGATCGGAGGGGCCGCCTTGCCTGCAGCCCCCTGATCT